CGGCAATTTCATTGAAATTTTGAGAACATCTTTTACATTTAAATTTATATTTTTTACATATTAGTTATATTGCATTATCAATTATATTGCACATTGTGTTGCATATTATATTGCATAAATATTGCAATTATTTATTATTCCATTGTTAATGTATGTAGAACAATATAATATAAATATTCATAAATAAATTATTAAAATATCATTAACTGATTTAGAATTCAACGGTATAAATATAATTATCGAGGAAATTAATGATAAAATTTATTTAGATGATTTCAGCTTCTTTACGTAGATTAAATTTTATCGCTTAAATTTTAAATCGTCAAGCATATTCTTCTCTTTTTAATTATATATTTTATTACTTTATCACTGTTTATTTTTTAGCAAATACAGTTTTTGTATATTATATTTAAGTTTCCTATAAATCTTTTTATAATTTAACGTTCGCTGTTAATTATGTTAAAAAAATAAACAATTTTTTTAAATCGTTCGATTACATTTTAGTATTCGTTTTGCAGGCAATACCATGGGTGGAATTTTTTTACAACAGAATATGCAGAAAATTCTTTAGATTAATAAACCACATATCAGTAAAGCCGACAATGTGGCTTTACATGATAACAGCGTTTATTGCTTATAGAAAATGACCAAAAAATTACTGATATACAGTAATTTTTGATCATTAAATTATTGATATATGTACAGTAATTTAAGTACTCGAAATAAGTAATTAAGCACTAACTCACTAGTATTAAATTTCCATAAGGGATGTTCATATTCGGTGGTCGAACAAGACATTTTTAGGCATAAAACGTATCAGATCGATCACGAATATTTAGACAAATCTGCCTCAAGTTACACGATGACAATAATAAGATGATAAAGTGCAGATAAAAATTACTATGCACTTTTTTTAAAAGAGAGGAAGCGGAAAAAGGAGAGAAAATGCCGTTATTAAAGTATCGAAATAATAGTTTAATAACAGCGTGAGATCGAATTCGAATTTGATTATAAATTTCGCATACAAATATTCAACTTGACAAGTACGTTGATAACTTGTATGAGAAGTATTTATGTATACATATGTATGTACATATATGATTATCTTATATAATCTGCGACAATATAATCAAGCATTACAGTTACAGGAGTGCAACTATAATGTAAGAAATAAATGCTTATTAATGGAAAATAAGCAGCAGATAAGAAATTGTTATCAAGATAATTATCAAGTTAAATATTTGCGTGTTTCAGTAAATAAAATTAATATATTCTCTCGCGCCACACATCATCCTTTCGCATTTACATTCTTTATCGCTTCACCAAAAATTATTCATTAGAAGCTTATTCATTAATAAATTAAATAAAGCACAAAAAATGCATAACAAAGCAAATTAACATCTTCTTACTGAACTGAATGAGCAAGCAATATTTTTCTTTACTCGTATTTTTCGAAATTTCTCCTTTCACGTCGCGAACTAAAATTGTATTGATTCTTTCATACTCAGAATAGAATTTTCATTAGCCAATAGATTGTTTGTCATTCTTCAATTATGGTCCAAAAGAAAATATCTTGCAGATAATAGTCGGATTTTCATCGATGGAATGATATTGCTGGACGTGTGATGTTATATTTTTTTAATCATCTTGGCGCGGACGTAAATTGATGCTCGTCCTCGACATAATAGACTTTATCTATTTCTTCATGGTCCTGATCAATTGGATAATGAAGACTTGAAAATTTGTTTTGTGTACACATTGGACGAATTTTTCGTGCAACATAGAATCCTGAAGATGATGATTCTGGATGTCATTTATCTCAGCACAAAACCATCCGATGAGTGAGATCCACAATTAGGTCTTGAAAAAATTGTCCATTCGAAGAAAGTGATTATGTCCACTTTCTTCAAAAAAATTTGCGAATAACGCAAATTTTTAAGATTTTCTGGATTCTTGCGTTATTTAATTTAGATAAGATGAGCTGTATATTTATTATCAAATTTTTTTGCTTTATCTTAATTGTAAATGTAGACAAAATATATTAAATTCTTTAATTTTTTATGCAATTTAATAATAATAATTGCATTTGACGAGTAATTTCTTCTTTTTTGCAGAAATCGCGCTTGGATTTTATATCTTTAGCCATTCGTCCTAGTTGATTATTTTCGTCGCCATGTTGCTTGAGCTAGCGATTTTGTACTCGTATGATTTAAGTAGCAAGCATCATCATGATAGCAACATGATCTCCTGCATCAATTTTTCTTCTTCTTTTTTTGTTGACAAGGAACAGATGAATAGTTAAGAACTGATCATATTCCCACAGTATCTTCAAATGATATAAGAATGCTTGATGTAAATTATTAGAGGAGAAACTGCAAGCTTCTTCTTGTATATCGAATAAGAAGATTATTATTAATCTTCTTTTTCTTCTTCTTTCTCTTTAAACAAGGAACAGATTCGAGAAAAGGAAAAATCAATTCAGATGTAGACTTCATAGATCTTAGAATAATGTGACAGACTTCAGTAATTTCTAATCGAAGAGATTCCAATTGACTTTTTTGTGCTAAGTCAGTTTGGCGAATGATTTATTGAATCATAAATCCTCGATCATCCATTTCACGAATCCTCATCGCAATTTGTAGTTTAACTTGTATTCTGAGGGATACGCGCGAATAAAAGGAGAAATTTCTTTTTTCAAAATCGATGACGATTACTCTCAATTAATTAATCTTATTGTCATTGTATCAATTAAAATTATAAAATTACTTGCTTTTTTTTAAACGCTTTCCTCAGATGTTTTATATATGTATATATATATAATCTCTAAAAACTCACCTTTAAAAAAAGGTAAAAAAAGGCGACCAGTTAAGGGCACGCCATTAACAAAAATTATTTATTGCAAACCCATGTAGAATCCTATGAAAAATTAATCATTGCAAACCCATGTAGAATCCTAGGCAAAATTAACCATTGCAAACCCATGTAGAATCGTACCTATTGCAAACCTATGTGGAATCCTATGAAAATTAACCATTGCAAACCCATGTAGAATCCTATGAAAAATTAACCATTGCAAACCCATGTAGAATTGTATTAAAAATTATCCATTGCAAACTTATGTAGAATCCTACATTGCAAACCCATGTACAATAGAATTGTATGAAAAATTATCGATTATAAACCCATGTACAATCGTAACAAAAGTAATGAAATAAAAAAAAAATTGCGACAAGTGAAAGTAGAAACTTGTACCAGTGGAAAATTAAAGTTGCAGACATATATATAGTCGTATAATGAATCAGTAAAAATTTAAATTTGCAAATGTAGAATCGTACCATAAAAAAACTTATCTTTTAAAAAAAAAAGATAAACAAGATGCCAAGTCCATTAATATAAAATAAAAAGAAATAAAAAAATTGTAGTTAAAAAAACTGGGCGCGCTGCTAAATAATATTCTAATGATATTAAAATTAAATTGTTATTTTTAAACTCATTGCAGTTAAAATATGTTTTGTGTTTAAATTAATTAATGTTACTTTAAGGTGCTAAATAATATTCTAATGATATTAAAATTAATTGTTATTTTTAAACTCATTGCAGTTAAAATATGTTTTGTGTTTAAATTAATTAATGTTACTTTAAGGTGCATTGTAATTTTGAAACTTAGCAGCGCGCCCAGTTTTTTTAACTACAATTTTTTTATTTCTTTTTATTTTATATTAATGGACTTGGCATCTTGTTTATCTTTTTTTTTTAAAAGATAAGTTTTTTTATGGTACGATTCTACATTTGCAAATTTAAATTTTTACTGATTCATTATACGACTATATATATGTCTGCAACTTTAATTTTCCACTGGTACAAGTTTCTACTTTCACTTGTCGCAATTTTTTTTTTATTTCATTACTTTTGTTACGATTGTACATGGGTTTATAATCGATAATTTTTCATACAATTCTATTGTACATGGGTTTGCAATGTAGGATTCTACATAAGTTTGCAATGGATAATTTTTAATACAATTCTACATGGGTTTGCAATGGTTAATTTTTCATAGGATTCTACATGGGTTTGCAATGGTTAATTTTTCATAGGATTCCACATAGGTTTGCAATGGGTACGATTCTACATGGTTTTGCAATGGTTAATTTTGCCTAGGATTCTACATGGGTTTGCAATGATTAATTTTTCATAGGATTCTACATGGGTTTGCAATAAATAATTTTTGTTAATGGCGTGCCCTTAACTGGTCGCCTTTTTTTACCTTTTTTTAAAGGTGAGTTTTTAGAGATTATATCATTCATTTTTGTATATGATATAATAACATTACCGCAATGCCATGACTCTGTGTATGTTTTACTGTTTAGACGTTTTGATGCTTTAATCAAAGATACTTGATTCTATATATATGTTTATACATAATTTAAGAAATATTTTCAATATCTTAAATCATTTCTTTCCTTATTTGCAAACATGTTTCAAATAATATTTGATATCATAGCTTTAAAAGATATGTATTAGAACACGTATTATCATATTAGCACAAATGCGTAATATCATATACGATAAATATAAAATATATTTTATTACTGCATATATTACTTTAATGCAGTTTACTTTATAAAGTATCTCGTTCGAGTACTCGTTATTTGGGATCATATTATTGCTTTATATGATAATATAATATAATTGTGTAAATGATATTTTATTGTACCGTATGATCATATAATTTTAATTGATCAAGTAAAATATAAAAAAATATTTTTCTTATTAAATATATATATATATATATATATATATATATATATAATTAGACTTAAAAGCTTGATTTGATTTACTAATATTTATCACGAACATCTGTTTAAGAGAGTTATGGGTAACACCACTCTAGCGGTCGAAAAAAAGACCTAACTTTGACAATTTTTTTTGAGAATATAATAAAAGGAATGGGAATTTTTCTTGAGAAGGTTTATTGAGCATATATTTAAGTATAGAAAAAAATTTTTTATTATTTTTTTTATACAAAATGGCGACGAGAGAGACAATCTTCAAAATGACGTTTTTAAAAAACGCTTCCATTAGCGAACCAATTTCTCGTGAACTATAAGACCTAGAATAAAAAACCAAAAAATTTTAAATCTACATACTATTGCCTATAGAAGTACGTAGGGATTTTTTATTTTATCAAATTTTGCAGAAACGGTGCACTTTTGAAAAAAAAATTCAATTTTATGCCAAAAAATAAGCAGTAAATTGTTTATAAAATAAAAAGTTTACATCGAATCGAAAAACCCCTACGTACTTCTATAAAGGATGTAATTGTGAAGCTACTGTCAAATTTTCAAACTGATCCATGCAACCGTGTTGAAGTAATGTGTTCGCTAAGATTGAAAAAAGTGGTTTCGAGAAAAACGCGTTTAAAGTTTCACGAGCACTTAAAATGCTTGAAATTTATGTTTACCTTTAATCAGCGATGCCTGCACCATACATTTGGCCATCCAGATTAATACTCGCCTCTTCTTCTTCCTTCCTGGATGATTTTAAAAGCAATCGGGCCTCTTTTGCAGCATTAGTCAGCGATCGCTCCGAATACTTGATGCGGCGCTCGTCCGTTTCGACGCAGAAATTGTAGCAATTCGTCCCAATTTTCATGCCTAAATTTTGCATGAGCCTCATAACACTTGATAGGCCATCATTATATATACCTACAGCGATATATATGGCAGTATCAAGCACATGCTTGCCACTGGAGGTCGATTTCGGAGCCATTGACCAAACTGTCGAATTGAAACTCTCGTTGCTATTTTGAGTATAGCCGCCGATGCAACGAGTAAGCAGATCGTCGCTGCTTAATTCTTTATAAATTGGTAAAATTGCTTCAAAAACTGAAGTCGAGAGAGGTGGTTTATGCTTGTAATCGACATTACCAATGGCCTGTGCTTTTTGCCATGAACACCACGAATTTTCTCCGGACGGGCATTTTTCGTGCTGCGGTTTTTCGTCGGTTGATATTTTATGGAATAGCGTCGCATAAATTTCATTCCGCATTTTTTCTACGGAATCATGATTGCGGCGTATAGCTAATCCATAATAAATTGACAACTCGTCGATCAATTTACCTGTCAACTTGCCTTTTCCTCCGAGTCCTTTTGTATTTTTTTTTAAATTGCGAAGGCGAGTACCCATTCGCTTTTGTACGTGGTCGATGCACTCTTTCTTCATAACTGTGAAATCAGCATAAGGCTCTGAATCCATGATACCTTTAAAAGTTTTAGAATCTCCGTCCCCCACGTAATTTGCATATTTTAAATTGTGCAAAGAATTTGAGCGCTGGAACATTTCTATGACGGCGTCCACCTCCATCTTTCCGGCGGAGCCCTCGTGGTTAGCTTGGCATTCGTTTTCATGCGTTTCGATCCATTCCTTGTACTTCTCAGTGTCTTCTTGTTTCTCCCAAAATTCACAAGATTTACAATATTTTGATTTTATAACAACATCAACCACTTTGCCGCTAAGCCATCCAATAAGCGATACGAATCCGAAAAGTGACGAAAAACCCCGCTTTTCCACGAACCATCACCAGATACAGTAATACCATCTGTATTCTCTTTCTCATCACTTTTTTTCTTCTCTTCCTGAGCTGCAGTTTTCATACTGAGCTGACAAACCGCCTCTGCTCCAATAGCGATTCTTTTAACGACTCTGTCGTAGAATGATTGAAAAATTGGTCGCGGGAGATCCATAAACGCGCAAAATTTCATTATTCCATTTAGTCCTACTCCGAGTAGCCGCATAGCAAGTACAATTCGACGATTAATCTCGTATCCTTTTTCAATAAATGGAGAACTAGGAATATAAATTTTGTCACATTTTTGACACGAAATCACAATTTTAAAACCCAAGCCACGCTTTGCAGATTCGGTGAATGTCACTTCAGATTTGCATTTTTTACAGACAACAGCTTGCGATATAGCGGAGAAAACGGCTAAAAAGTTTAAAATTCGGTATCCAAATCCTTCTTCTACTTCAAATTCTTCAAGATCTATTTCTGATAATTTGCGAGCCGATGTGCCAGCCTTCTCGAGATCCGGCATCTCCAATTCGTAACGGTTCAACGGTCGCCGCTTTGAAATTCTCGGTCTCTTCGAATCGTTAGCACTCCCCATTGAGCCTTTCTTCTCCTTATATATTTTTCTTTTATTACTCATCTTGTTAAGCACTCAGAAACAACTAAATGTATGTATAGAAAACAGAGAAAGCAATGAAAAAATCAAAAATGTGCGTGTGCTTGGCGTCACATTGCCAGCTGTACTGAAATACAAGTTTATTTTGGCAGTAGCGTACCCTGGTGATCTTTTGAGTAACTCAAGCATCTTCTGCACTATAAATAACAGGGCCACTTATTATCCTGAAAGGTAAAACAGGATGACAAAAGCGATGAATCCGAACGCGCCGCGTTAAGGCTCAAGCGGCGCTCCGAGGCGCTGCGGAAAAATCGTTGGTAGAGGCTTTTAAAAATTTTTTTTACTATAAAACCAAGTGCATGTTATTTTTATGATGTTAAAGCATTGTTTAAAGCAAAAAAAAAAAAATTGATTTTTTCAAAATCCTAGAGTGGTGTTACCCCTTATGCCGGAATATAATTCTGTGATATGATCTATATTAATTTGATCAATTTTTTTAAATAATATAGTAATAAATATTAATAAATATAATAAATATTAATTAATAAATATTAATAGATATTAATTAATTTATAATTTTATAGTATATAAAACTGAAGATATAAAGAAAATGGAATACAAATAAATATTTTTTTCCGTCAAGCTATCACTACATTTTGCACATGTCTAGTGGATTTTAGTAATTATCTTAATTATTTTATATCATATTAATATAATCATTTTTGTTATTATATTGACTTTTAATTTAATCATCCCTTTTATGAATCAAAATTTTGCAATGTAAAAAGACGAACATAACGTTGAATAGTAAATCGTAAAAAATTAAATGTGAACTTGTGTGCATGTATGTGTATTGCTATTTTTCATAAATATTAAAGTGATCACAAATTTTGTTTGTAACAGCTCTTTTCTCAAAACTCGACACATAAGCCTGAATAATACCTTTTTTCAACAATAGAAACTATATTATAGTGAATAAAGGAATACGCAAAAATTTTGTATAATGATGTATAATGATGTATAATGATGTATTATGTATTATACATAATTATTCAAAAACGTTTGTTACAACATTTTATACTTTTCCGTCTTAAGAGAATATATATATTTATTAAACAAAGTTGTATATTGTACGTCCTGTTTCCCTTAAAATATCATAGAGATTAATTTAATAATCTTGTCACATTCTGTTGTAATTAAATATTCGTTATTATTAAGTCAATTACAATCGTGGTCATTTTAATATAATTAATTTTTAATTCTCACTCCTTTACAATTGATGCTGATTTTCGTTGGCCTACTGAAATTCTTCATTTCTAACAATAAGTGCAGCCAAAAATTTGCCACATATATGCTAGCATGGTTCGGTGATAGCAGAGTGTATACATATTTACTAGTAAAACCTGTAAGTTTTCCCGCGTATTTATATTTTGTAGCAATCAAGCAAATATGATCAAATTTCTCAGCAGACAAATTATATTCTTTCAACAATCGTTGATTATTTGCAATGCATGACGTGACCTGATCACGCTGAAAAAATATCAGTTATAAAACAGATGTAGTTCCTATTAGTTAATTATGTATTGCAGAATCATGCAAACGCAGCAAGACTAAAGAATATAATATAATAAATTGAATAATATAATGGTTCAATAAAAAAAGATACCACTGAATTAATGTCAGCAGAAGGCTCTTGATGTAATTGGACTTGTCTGATGATATTACTTAGTGAATAAAGTTTATTATACATATCTACTGTCGCGAGTTCTAATCTATTTAATATAGAATTGAAATCGAGAGCATTATCGTTTAGCTTTTGCATTTGCTTTATTTGCTTATATACATCTTGGCAAAAATTTGAGTCGATTAGTAGAATATCCATTTCTTCCATACGCGTGGATTCTATATAATTACAACTAATATGTAACATGACATTGTAGGGAATGTAACCTACATACATGTTACATGCAAAGAGGTTACATGTCATCAAATCTGACATCTGATCTGACACATATACCTAACATCATGGATCATGGAGCGACATACTATCGCCGTCTGTTGTAAAACGTGCGAGATGGACATTTCCAATACATGCATCTATTCATGTGTTGTGTACGTGTGATATATGTGTGCGCATGTGTTGTATACGTGTGAATACGTGTAGCACGATACTACTATGTTTGCGTGGTCGATGATGACGGGGACGTTTCTTAAAAGAAATTTTTCATATTTCGACTTTGCAATTATATATCTCTGCTTACAAATCACGTAGAGCAGAAATAAAGACACTTTATTATATAATTCAAACTCAATCTATCGATTAAGTCTAGTATAAACTCGATTGCTTCAGCCGTTATTGAGAATTCGAAATATTATAAAGAGTCAAATATCCGACTCGCGTTAAGATACACGGTGTCTCGGCTACGCCCTTAACTGGTCGCGAGACACTACCGTGTCTCTTGATATAATGTTTTATATATGTGTATATATATATATATGCACATATATAATGTTATATGTATTTATATCCGTTTCTTTTTTTAATTAAACAATATTAATAGAAACACAAAAGGATGAAATGTAATGGATTTGGAAACTTTGTTCCCAATGTTCATTGGAGTATATATAATAGTAAATTGATAGGAATGAGGAAATATTTATCGTAGCAATTGAAGCAATATTTATAGATCGACCGGAACTGTTTTAAATGTACGTACGTGATACAGTTTTATGTGTGTATCTTTCCAATAAATAAAAAATCTTAAATCTTCATGTTTTAAAATATGACCATCGTATACGAAAAGAGATATTTATATCGTATGCATGACAAATAATTAATTTATAATCGTTCTGCAGATGTTGCTGTTTAGAACCCGTGGCTCATTGTCAAATCCATGACTTTCAAACTTGCATTCATAGAAAAATGAAGTATACTTAACAATATTTATTAATATTATTAATTTTACGGCAATAATTTGAAACTGATTTCACAATTTGATAGATTAATATACAGATATAATTTCTATCGTTGATATAAATGTGCGAAAAAAATATGCTTGACAATTTTTTCCCTGAAATTCGAATTTATCATAATCGATTTAAAGATACAGACTGTGTTTAAAGACAGATTACCGTGCTTTTATCGTATAAGTAAATGTCAATTTTTCTAATATGCTTGAAACATTTTTTGTAACAATATTCCTCAATTAAGTTAAATTAATTAAATTAATAAAATAAATATAACAATTAAATGTAACAATAAGCTAACCTCAGGTTGCTCAGAGAAGAACAACCGAATAAGATATTTTAGAAACTGCCATATATTTGTAACGAATTAAAGATCAAAACTTGTCAGTGCAAATATTTCATTTATCATCTGAAGAAATGTGTATAAATCAGGTGACGCGGTAGCGTCTCGCTAAGTTATATCTTTCATTCGTCAAATTGAAATACAATCTACAAAAAAACAAAAAAAAATATTGAAAGATATCGAAAAGATAGCGAAAATATCAAAACAAAAGCGAAAATTATCCGTAGGACGCTACTGTGTATCCTTTACCGGACGTAACACGATTTTCGTCACCTTGAAAACAAAAATTTGAAATATTTCATGAACGGAAACATATTTTTCAAAAGATGACCATATCAATCGAAAGCGCGATTTTTCCGAGTAAAATGAGACCTTAACGAACTTGATAGCTCTATTGGTTGCGGAGATATGAATTTTTTAAGTTATTTTTTGGTCGAAAAGATGTCACTTTTTTTTAAGACTACGGCGTCGTACTTGTCCGCGGTCACCCATCCCGACAAAGTGATTCTGTCCGAAGCTGCTTTACCTTATCCGCGGTCACCCATCCTAGTATAGTGACATTTTCCTCAGCTGCTTAACCTTTTAAGCAACCAAACAAAAAATAAATTCTCGCTCTCTCTCACTCTCTCTCTCTCTCCCCCCTCTCTCTCCCTCTCTCTCCCCCTCTTTCTTCCTTTCTCTCTTGCTTTCCCACGTCTTTTTTCGCTCTCTCTTGCCCTCTCTCGCTTTCTCTCGCTGTCTCTCGCTCTCTCTTGCTCTCTACCGCTCTCTCGCTCTCTACCGCTCTCTCTCGCGTTCTCTCGCTCTCTCCCACTCTCTCTCGTGTTCTCTCACTCTCTCTCGTCGTCTCTCGCTCTCTCTCGGTTTTTTTCGCTCTTTCTCGCTTTCTCTCACTGTTTCTCGCCTTCTCTCGTTCTCTCTCGCTCTCTCGCTTTCTTCCGGTCTCTCTCGCTCTCTCCCGCTTTCTCTCGCGCTCTCTCTCGCTTTCTTTCGCTCTCTCTCGCTCTCTCCCGCTTTGTATCGCTCTCTCTCGCCCTCTCTCGCTGTCTCTCGCTCCCTCTTGCT